GCTTAGGGAACTTCCAGAGCTTGCCTGAAATCCCACAGTGAGTAAGTGGCAGAGCTGGGGTTTGAACCCTGGCAGTTTGACCCCGGAGCTGCAACTCCTGCCTGCCACAGGATGAGTCAAGAACAGGGGGAGGATGGTGACGTTTTGTAAAAAGAAGCAAAGCCCTAAGGAGAAGTAGGATAGATAGCATTCAAGTACCTGGAGGTCTGTGCGGCATCAGAGGACAGATCAGCAGCCAGAGTCCTGGGAGGCAGCTGTCCTTTTGTAGGTGGAGGAGTGAACACTCCCAAACAAGGCTGCTGAACATGGAGCCCTGGTGGCACAGTGGTTAAGAGCTTGGCTGCTAACCAAAATGTCAGCAGTTTGAAACCCTGTGGAGCAGTTCTACGTCGTCGGAATCTACTCTGTGCAGCGGGTTTGGTTTATTTATTTTTTTAAGCAGATGCTGAGACCATCCATAGGAGATATAGTTGAGAGTTTCCGTTATTGGAAGGAGATGGAATTATGTACTTAATGAGGTTCCTTCCAACTTCTATTCTGTGATATTTGTGTGTTTAGAAAGGCCAGATGCTCTGTGGTTGAGAGTTGAGTATAATTCAGGATTGTTCAGCCTTTCTCTTGGCAAGGGAATTAAGGAGGCGGATTTATCTTCCCTAAAGTAAAATACATCCTCATGGGTCATACAGGAGTTCATTGTTACGATGACCAGGAGACTTTTTACACAGGGAATCCTTTCCTCTACGAGTTTAAATTTTGAAGCCCTAGAAGCTTCCAGAATTCCACTTTATCTCTTATTAAAAAATAATAAAAATAGCTAGCATTGAGCAATAAAAGTATGCCAGTCACTGTGCCAAGCATTTCTCATTATTCTATCTAATCTTTGCAACAACCCATTGAAATATTATCCCCATTTTACAGATGAGGAAATGAAAGCAGAGTGGTTGAAGTGGGCTGGGTGACCATGGTGGGCTAATAATACTAGCTGATGTTCAGAGAGGAAGAGTGGAGTTCTGGAGCTAACCCTCCAAGCCTGTCCTGTCTGTCAGGTGACCAACTCGCCAGAGTTTTTTAGCAAAGAGCCCTGGGTGTCCATCTAGTGTGGGAAGTCCCAGAGTTATGCAGCTCAGTGGCAGTTGGCACCGGCTGTGATTTTCTCTTAGGTGTTCCCCAGCCGTTGTGTGAGTGACACGGGAGGCCTGGGTACAGCTGTGAGCAGTTTGCAGACGCAAATGGTCCAGAATCAGATAAAGAGGCAGGCTCTCCCAACCTGCTTCTCAACAACAGAAGTCTTACCGAAGACTGCGCCAGAGGCCCATCACTCACAGGCTGACTTTCTGCCTCCCCGTCTCCAGGCCCCACAGGCCTGTTCTGTTGACTTTCCCTGGCCTTTGTTTTTCCTTCTGGGACATCACAGATAATTGCAAGCAGGCTCCCTCCTCCTCCTTTTCCTTCTCCTCCCCCTCACTAGCTCTAGGTGAGGAGAGATCTCCAGAGGTCTCCAGCCAGAGCAGGAAGCCTTCTGCTCAGTCCTTTGTGAGGGGTCATTGTTGCCTGAGACCCCTGGGGTAGGATCTGTCCTCCCCTCACCCCTTGTGGTTGGTTTTTAAATCCTGACCCCTGGCAGATTGCCCAGTTGAGGATCATTAGCTGTGCTGAGTATACTGGTCTGTGCTTTCAGGGGAAATGTAAAATGTGGCTAAAGGTTACTTGTTCAATTGTCTTTTCTAGTTAATAAGCATGTTGGTTAGAAAGAAGATAAGAAGAAAATTAGTTCTCCATAATTTCACCTCCCAGAGAATAAGAACAGTTGACATTTTAACCTGTTTCTAGAGCTCATTATTGACAAAAAGCTCCAGGTAAGAGTCAGACCTGGGTTATAACTCTGGCCTTCCTGCTTGTTAACTATGTAACTTGGGCATCTTGACCTGTACCTGTTTCCCCAATCACAAAATGGGAATAATGGTCTTGCCTGCCTCACACAGTGGTCATGAGGATTCCGTAAGAGAACATTTGTAAAGCCCTTAGCGCAATGGCTGGTCCACATAGTAAGTGTTTAATAAATGTCAGCTATTAGTAAAGGTCCCTGTTCAGCTGCTAACTAAAAGGTCGACAGTTCAAATCCACCAGCTGCTCCTTGGAGACTCTATGGGACAGTTGCACTCTGTCCTATAGGGTAGCTATGAGTTGGAATCATCTTGATGGCAGTAGGGTAGAGTGGGAAGGACTGGTGGCGCAGTGGTTAAGTACTTGGCTGCTAACAGAAAGGTCATTGGTTCAAATCCAGCAGCTACTCTGTGGGAGAAAGATGTGGCAGTCTTCTTCTATAAAGACTACAGCCTTGGAAACCCTATGGGGCAGTTCTCTGTTCTACAGGGTTGCCATGAGTTGGAATCGACTCGATTTGGTTTGGGTTAGCGCAAACAGTTAAGCGCTTGACTGCTACCCAAAAGGTTGGCGGTTCAAACCCAACCAGAGTCTCCTTGGAAGAAAAATCTACTAATCTGCTTTCGAAAGGTCACAGCCTTGAAAATTCTATGGAGTTGTTCTACTCTGCATGCATGAGGCTGCCATGAATCAGAATTGCCTCGATGGTAACTAACAATAACAACAGCATCATCATCATTATTAAAAATGTTAGTAATGCACAACTGGGCTATTGCAATGTGGTGTCCAAATGTCTATGCAAGTATCAATTGCAGGCCATACTGTGTATTTTGTTCTTTGTCCTTCTGGAACACTGAATAGCATCTACATCTTCCCATTAAGAGCCTGGAACCTTTCAGTAAGGTAATCAGGTGATGATGAAAGTTGCCCTCAGAACACAGCAGTCATACTAGTATCTCCTGGCCTGGCCTGGCCTCCTTAGGGGTCCAATGTTCATTCGAAGGATAAGCCCAAAAGAAGAGAGTTGGTCACGCTGGATGGACAAGGGCCCTAGTTTCTTGCCCGAGCACATACCTACTCTCTTGCATTTCACAACTTATCAGAGTCTTTCTAGGATGTCAGAGTGTTCAGATACAAATTTGGTCTGACTCAGAATTCAAACAAATTATTTTCCAATAAGTAGTCCCGGAAGCGTGCTGACTTCCTGACCCTTTATGATAAAGCTTTTAAACATAAGCACGTAAGGGAAACATTAATGACTCTCAATGTTTTTCACTTGTGCGGCCTTTTTGGATGGGGTTTTAAAACACTGGTTTGCCTTTAGGTATAAAAACATCTAGTTAGGAAAAACACCATAATGATGGACAAGATTGAAGAGAGCAATACTTGGCAAACTGCCCCTTTTATGCATATTTGTGTGTCTTTCCCTGAGGTCTAGAGATGCTGGTTCTTTCGTTTGAGATTTTATTCTGCATCCTCAATTGCTGTGTCTGTCTAAAAAAATTCATGTTCAGTGAAATGCTGTTTATCCCTCTTGCAACATCTGGGTTGTTTTGGAGGATAAATGAGCTTTTCTTTGCAGCTTCTAACACACTGTGAGCTGAGGTTCTTTACTGGTTCATTTCATTACCTGACACTCCTGCCAAGGTAGAAGTGCTTGCTGAGGTTCCCTGCCAATCCTTGCCACATCATTCTTCCTAAAAGAAAACTTGGCACCCAGGAAGCAATTTGAGGAGAGAATACTTTTCCAGGCGTTACAACTATTGTGGCTTTATGGGGTAAATGGTTTCTAGTAGGGAATTTTACTAAACAGATGGGAAAAGTTGCTTAAAGGGGACCGGGTTTGGAGGGGAGTCCCTGGGTGGTACAAACGGTTTATGGGGTCGGCCATGTATCGAAAGATTCAAGTCCACTGAGGTGGCTTGGAAGAAAGGCCTGGCCATCTACTTCTGGAAAAAAAAAAACAGCCATTGAAAACTCTATGGAGCACAGCTCTACTCTGACACATATGGGATCGCCATGAGTCAGAGTTGACTTGTTGACAACTGGTAGGGTTTGGAGGAGAGGTCTTGGGAAGGCCTTGGTTAGTTATGCATCTATATACCAGGTGCCTGAGGAAAACTGGAAAATTAGCTGCATCCACCCCAGCACACTCTGTCTTCCCACATAACTGAGTTTGTTTTATAAACGTCAAAGTGTAGCTTTTGTAATATGCTCGCACTCCTCAATATTTATGGCCCCAATGAAAGCTGTTTCTATGAGTCATATCAATATTTTTGTTGATATTTGCGTGTATGTGTGTTCAGTGATTTCTAGGCTGTGTAGAGACTTCCTAGAACTTAAGAGCATTTTCTAGGACTGCCACTAACTAGCTGTATATTCATGGCTGGGTTCGTAACCAACTCAAGCCTTACTCTCCTTACCTGCATACTATCCTTACCTGCATACTATCCTTACCTGCATAGTAAGGGGTTTAGACCAAGTGCTGTCTAGAAGTGGGGTTTTTTTGGTAAAGGATGAGGAGGAAAGACATTGAAATAGCATTTTGGTGAAGTGCTGACAGTTGTCGAATTCTTAAAAGGCTGGTAAAGCTTTGTGGTATTTGTTATCAAGTTTCCTCTTATTAATTTTGTTGCTTTGGTACCTTGGCCCAGGCACCGTGGCCTTGCCAGACCTAAGTTTTATACCAGGTGTTTCTTTCTGCCTTAACATTCCCTGAGGCAAACTGAATATGTTAATGTTTCGCAAGTCAGACTTTCCAACTCTCTAATCACTGCAAAATTCTTGGCTGCGTTCCTGTCGTTTTTATATTCACTATTTATTACCGAGGGTCTTCAATTTGTAGACTATGATTCAGGTGTGGTTTTGTTTGAAACAAATGTTATTGTGGGTTGGAATATCCTGAAATTATTTAATTTGTGGGAGAAAAAAATGTTGTTGCATATGTCCTTACTTGGCTCATTTAAATTGCCTGCCTGTCAAACTCTTATTTAAATGTGACTTTTAAGTAGAGCACTTTGGAAAATTGAGCTAAGCCAACTCTTGGTGATTTTTTTTTTTTCCTCTCTGAGCCTTTTCATTTCTTCTAACAATGTTGCATATTTTACTTTGTCTAGGATTCTCCAGAAAGACATGTCTGACAAGATGTCTAGTTTCCTACATATTGGAGACATTTGTTCTCTGTACGCGGAGGGATCGACAAATGGATTTATTAGCACCTTGGGGTAAGAGTGCCTCATTTCTTGCACGGCAGGATTTGTTAAGACATCATAACATCAGTTTAAAATCTTTGATTTTTCTAAGATAAGAATGTTATGATTTTACTTGGCTTTTACAGGGACGATTGAAATCATCAATACCAAGTTTCTCATACTATCTAGGTTTAACCTTTCATACAAAAACATTGTTTTCTGTTGGTCCTGAAAAAGTGAAGCCTCATTAATTCAGAATTGATTACAATTCCTCTTCCTTCATATATAAGGGAGAGTGCTAAATATATGGAATAAAAATTTTAAGATTAATATTTACAGTCCCAAAGGAGTGCTTTTTAGCTTTGTGAAAGCTCTTGTTTTCAAATAGTGACTTGTTTGTAATATAAGCAAAGACCAGAACTTCTTGGATGCTTATCTGTCTTCTTTGAAGCAGAACCTTTCCTAGTTTAAATTGCTGTATATATTCAAAAGCTATAAATTGCATGAAGTTCTATAATACAGACTTTTGCTCTTTTGTGCTTTTTATAATCTTTTACCCAGTGTTTAAGGGTATAAATATATCCCATAAAGTACTAATTTGATTATCTTCTCCCTCTTCCTCGTCCTATTGTCTAGAAGAGGAAATAAAGACCTCCAAAGGCAGATAGAAACAGAATAGAGAATCAAGATGGTTAACTCTAGAATAGTCACGAATGATCCGTATTGTCTTTGTGTAGAAAGGAGGCCCTGGTGGTATTGTTGAATTTGGCAGGAGCCATTCTCAAAAAAGCCAACAGCTTCTCCAAGAACCTCATTCTTACAGCAGTCAGCACCTTCCTTCTAATTATAGCCATTATTTAAAGCACACTTGTTCTCTGCTGTTTGGGAAATGTGTGTATTCCCAGGCTCTCATTCAGGTTAATCCACCTTCAAGGAGCAAGTTAGTCCAAATATAGAATTCTAGCTCAATGGGCCCTGTGCTCTCACTGGATAAAAATTGCATTTTCAAAAGTCATCAATAAGAGGAAGTCATCCATGACTGCCTGATCCAGTGACCATGTCTCAGTCCTTGTCTTTTGTGACTTTTCCACGCTATAGACCACCCCTTAGCAATTTCTCTTCTGTGGCTTTTGGCAAAGAGGCCTTCTCCTGCTTGTGCTTCTCTGCTCCTTCTTTTTTTCTTGGCTGGCTTCTTTCCCCTTTTCATCCCCCATGGTTCAGTCTTTCATTCTCTTCCTATTTTTCAGCAACAACAATAACAAATAGCAGCAGTAAGCACTCTATGAACAATATAAGTGGTTATTGTGTGCCAGGCATTGTGCATTGTGCTAAGTACCATACAAAACATCATCCCTTTAATGTTCAAACAACATTTTAAGGGGAGTACTAGTATTATCCCCATTTGATGGGAGTTAAACTTCTGAGCCCCAGAGAGGTGCAGTCCCTTGCCCAAGTTTCACAGCTCAGGCGTCTAGGGACTCCAAAGCCAGTGCTCTTAGCTCTTCCCCCTGCGGGGCTGGCCTTCCTTCCCCTAGCTTCCCCGACAACCTCCCTTTGTGGCTGAGTTTGACTGCCACACTCCTGGCTGTCTGCCCACAGCTTTTATCTGGATGCCTTGTTAAAACCTCAGCCCCACCGTATGCTCATCTTTTCTTCCCATCACTCTTTCTCTCCGTGGTCCCGATGTCTGTTACTGGCATTGCTGCCCTCCCAGGCACCAAGCTTACTTCTAGGCAGTTGCTGAACTAGCCCCTGAAATCTTAGTACTTGCTCTTCCCTTCCTCCCTTCCTTCCAGAGTATCCATTCTTAAAACTCCTGTGAGTTACAAATTATTTGCTTTATAAGCGTTTTCCTCAAGCATTAACAGTACCAGTTGCTGTCGAGTTGCCTCCGACTCATGGCAACTCCATGTGTGTCAGAGTAGAACTGTGCTCCACAGGGCTTTCAATGGCAGATTTTTCAGATGTAGATCACCAGGCCTATGTGAGATTCTGAGGCCCCTCCCCAAGTATCATGTTACATCTGGTGGTGGCATTACTGTATCTGTACTCTCAGGGGCTCATCATATAGATGCAAAGCAAAAGTTTGAAATCATATTCGCTAGGGATTTTTTTATGTGCACACTCTGCTTTTGATTTTTACATAAAGATTCAGGCTGCAGAAGTAAAATGGAGCATACATTGGGCAATGTTTTGCTCTTTTGTGCTTTGTGGACCATCTTGTTGATGCAGAGAGGCCTTCTACCTTGGAGCAGAAAGAGGCAACTGTTGGTGGCCTACTCTGGTGACTTTGATTCATCCACGAAATAGATACTGAGCACCTCACCTAGGCAGGAAGATGTGCTAGCCCTGGGCATCTTTGGGCCACAGAGCAGGCAGCTCCCTGCCCTCGCAGAGCTTCTAGTCTAGCGTACCATTTGTGCCTCTCAGGACAGTGAAGAGGCAGAGACAGCAGGAAAGCCTTATGGGGCTTCATGGGGGAGGTGGGGACTGCGAATCAGGGCCTTGAGAGACAGACAGGAATCTAAGAAGTGAAAGGGAATTTTGGAGGAAGGAGCAGCAAGAGTAAAGGCTGAGTATTTATTGGCTCCTTGCTTCTGGGAGAAGAGGCAGTACAGATTTATGGAAGAAACCCTGGAAAACCATAACATGGTAGCTCAGAGGACGTTCTGTGGTCACTTGGAGAATGAGCCAGTCCTACTTATACTAGGAGTGCCTGGGTGGTGCAAATGGCTAATGCACTTGGCCGCTAGCTGAAAGGTTGGAGGTTCGAGTGCACCCAGAGGCACCTCAGAAGAAAGGCCCAGAGATCTACTTCTGAAACATCAACCATGTAAAACCCAATGGAGCACAGTTCTACTCTGACACACACGGGGTTGCCATGAGTTGGAATTGACTCAAGGGCAACTGGTTTTTGGTTAATGATACCAGTTTTAGGACCTTGGACAAGTCATTTAACTTCTCAGAGCCTCAGTTTCCTCATCTGTTCAATTTATTATTATTATTATGATTTTAATGGTTTTTCTAAAAGAATTGTGCGTGTTAGATTGGCCAGTCGGGACTTTAAAACTGGGTATTCATGTAATTTTTTGGATGGTTATTTATTTGTAATTTTTTGTTCTTCTCCACTAGTTGCTTTTGAAGCTCAAAGTTCTTTCACATCTCCATGTATTTGCACTTCCTTCCATCTGAAAATGTTCTCCTCTACTTCATCCTCCCATCTCTGTTTCAACCAGGGTTTTGAATTGTTTGGATTCCCTGCTGAGAATCTGCATTCCTAACAAGTTCCCAGGAGGTTATACAGAAGAATCACCCTCAGCAGGGAACTTGTTAGAAATGCAAATTCTCAGCAGGCTGGTCTGGAACTAACAGATTTGAAGCACTGGTTTCAACTCTTCTAATAGGACCTGTTCTACTAGCAGCTGCTCAGATGGCCTCCTGCACAATTAATTTGGGGCTGCACTTGTTTCTTCCTTCTTCCTTCCTTCTCTTACAACCTTTAGGTTATAGTCTTCTTATGGGTTTGCCTTTCTGGCTCCTCCACTAGTCTTGAGCTCCCTATGGGCAGCGCCCCAGCTCATATTCATCCACATATCCCAGGACCAAGCATAATTCAATATCTGGCGCAAACTTGGCCCCTCAGCTACTATTCAGTGAACGCACGGACCCTTCGTCTGTCTCTGAACTTCGGTGATAGTGCATGCTGTATGAAAATCCATCATGGATGTGGTGAAGAAGAAGCTACAGAAAGCAGTGTCCATCATAGCAGTAGAACCTTGGGAAACCTCTAGTGTCAACAGCTCCCTGGCAGGAGAATATTCCAGGCTAATTTTGTACAGGAAAAGTCCTGGAATGTCTGATTTTTACATAAGACTTGAGGTTTTATTTTCCTAGACTTGGCTTGTTATAGCATTTCTCTTTGTCTTCTTTGCAGCCTGGTAGATGATCGCTGTGTTGTACAGCCAGAAGCCGGGGACCTTAACAATCCACCTAAGAAATTCAGAGGTAAGGTGGTAGCCCTCCTGGAGTGGACACATGACTCACTTGAAAATTCATGATATGTGTTGCTGTGTGTTATTTCCTCTTTGTTTTTTCCTTTATAGCAATTGTAGGTTTATTTACTTATGTTTTTTTTTAAGTATGATTTCAATTCCAAGCCTTATAAGTCAGTTGACTTCTTGAAAATGCATCAATAAATTTAGTGTCAAGATTGGGATGGTTTTAATAGCGCCTTAATTTGTCTATCAAATAGATGTTGGTAAGTGCTCATTCAGTTTACAGGCTTCCATTTGTGCAGACATATCTCCAAGTAAATAGGATTTATTTATTTATCTTATTATAAATAAGCTCTAGTCACAAGGAACATTTGTTATTTCAGCAGATCTCACTCTCCCTTTGGGGGTTCTGATATTCTTAGCTGTCTTAACCTGGAGTGGGAATTTTTTTTTTTAATAAGTCTTTTGTGTCCCTGGTTAGGTTTATTCCTAGGTATTTTATCCTTTTAGGGGGCTATTGTTAATGGTATTGTTTTCTTGATTTCCTTTTTGAGTCCTTCTTATTAGTGTAGAGGAACCCAACTGATTTTTGTGTGTTGCTCTTGTACCCTGCCACTTTGCTGAATCTTTCTATTAGTTCCAGTAACTTTCTTGTGGAGTCTCTGGGATTTTCTATGTACAGGATCAAGTCATCTTCCTTTCCAGTTGGGATACTCTTTATTTCTTTTTCTTGCCTTATTGCTCTAGCTTGGACTTCCAGTACAATATTAAATAAAAGTGGTGGTAAAGGGCATTCTTGTATCATTCTCATTCTCAAGGGGAATGCTTTCAGTCATTCTCCACTGAGAATAATGTTGGCTATTGGTTTTGCATATATGCCCTTAATTATGTTGAGGAATTCCCCTTTTATTCCTATTTTGCTGAGAGTTTTTATCAGGAAAGGGAGTTGAATTTTATCAAATGTCTTTTCTGTGTCGATTGAGATAATCGTGTGATTCTTTTCCTTTGATTTATTTATGTGGTGAATTACATTGACTAATTTTCTAATATTGAACCATCCTTGCATCCCTGGTATGAATCCCACTTGATCATGATGTATTATTATTATTATTTTTTGATATGCTGTTGAATTCTGCTGGTTAGAATTTTGTTGAGAGTTTTTATGTCTATATTTATAAGGGATATTGATCTGTAATTTTCTTTTTTTCTAAATTTTTTTAATTGTACTTTAGATAAAGGTGTAACAATAGTTTCTCATTAAACAGTCAGTACACATATTGTTTTATGCCATTGGTTAACAAGCCACGACATGTCAACACTCTCCCTTCTCGACCTTGGAGGACCCTTTTTTTGGTGAAAATATGCATAGCCAAAGTTACACCATTTCAAAAGTTTCTACATGTACAATTCAGTGACATCGATTACATTCTTCCAGTTGTGCTGCTATTCTCACTATCCTTTTCCAAATTATTCCATTACCATTATCTTCAACTCACTGCCCTCTAGGCTTCCCATCAAACCTTTTGAGTTGCTGCTGTTAATTTGATATCACATAGATAATTCTTTTTTTTTTTTTTTGTACCTTAGATGAAGGTTTGCAGAACAAATAGTTTCTCATTAAACAGTACACATATTGCCCTATGACAGTGGTTAACAACCCCACGACATGTCAACACTGTCCCTTCTCAACCTTGGGTTCCCTGTCACCAGCTTTCCTGTCCCCTCCTGCCTTCTAGTCCTTGTCTCTGGACCGCTGTGCCTCATTAACCCTGTTTTGTTTTATAAGGTTGTCCAATCCCCAGCTGAACGGTGAACTTCAGGAGTGACTTCACCGCTGAGCTAAAAGAGTGTCCGGGGCCATACTCTCGGGGTTTCTCCAGTCTGTCAGGCCAGTAAATCTGGTCTTTTTTTTTGTGAGTTAGATTTTTGTTCTACACCCTTTTCTAGCTCTGTCCAGGACCCTCTGTTGTGATCCTGGTCAGAGCAGTCAGTGGTGGGCACCATCTAGCTGTACTGGACTCAATCTGGTGGAGGCCGTGGTAGCTGTGGTCCATTAGTTCTTTGGATGGATCTTTTCCATGTATCTTGTTCTCTTTCTTTATTCTCCCTTGCTCCCGAACGGGTGAGACCAGTGGAGTATCTTAGATGGCTTCTCACAGGCTTTTAAGAACCTAGACACTACTGGAGTGGGAAGTTTTGACTATTGCACTTGCTGTTTGAGTTAAAAGACATAGGCAGGCCAGTTTTCATACCAGTGTTGGCTTTCTTTTTAGGCCTCCTGCATTTCATGTTTTCTTTGGAAGGTAGCTTAGCTTTTTCCAGTTGGTATTTGAAATATACTTGGTATCTTAGATGATGAACATTTTGTTTTTTCTTGTTGTTAGTGGTCTTCAGCTGTAGCTGCATATTAGAATTATCTGGTGGAACTTTTAAATTAAGTAGATGCTCAGGACCACACTCCAAATGAATTAAGTCAGTGATTCTTATGTACAACTGAAGTGAGAACCCAATGGATTAAGTATTTGACTGATGGCCTCAGTCCCAAAGGGCCCAAATATTGCCATTTGCATGATCCTGTCATTTTTGTTATAAGTTCTTACTGCTTAACCAAACCTGTTCCCATCAAGTCAATTCCAACTCCTAGCAACCCTATAGGACAGGGTAGAACTGCCCCATAGGGTTTCCAAGGCTGTAAATCTTTACGGAAGCAGACTGCCACATCTTTCTCCCATGGAGTGGCTGGTGGGTTTGAACTGCCGACCTTTTGGTTCGCAGTCGAGAGCTTAACCACTGTGCCACCAGGGCTCCTCTCTTACTGCTTAGTGATGTAGAAGCTGTTTGCCTTTTATGCCTAAAAGCTGAAGACATTAGAACAAAATAGAAGGCAGAAGTTCAGATGGAGAGACGCCATTTAGAAAACATTTGGCATGGAGCTGCATCCAGTCGGCATGGGGTTCTCAGGAGAATGTTTTCATCTGAGGATGGGGTCCGGGGACTGTTTTTAAAAAAGGTAATTGACATAGGACCAGAGTGACAGGAACCTGGAGTAGGTGTTGCCTCTGCCGCCGTTTTCTTTTCAATCCCTCCTCCATTTTGCCTTTCAAAACAAAATCCTGAATGCAGCAGAAATGAAAGATTTGATCAAATGGTTGTGATCCAGTAGCTCATAGAATTCATTCCCTACTCCGAGTAATAAAAGGACCAGGACCTACTGATTCTGTGCGAGGCTCTGTGCTAAGGACTCTGCTTCTGGAGCCATCCGTCCACCCTGTGAGGAGATTGATGATGCACTCAGAGGTTAAGTAGCCTGTCTGGGTTCCCACCACTGGATGGAGTGAGCACTGCAGTTCTCAACTTTGGCTGCACAGAGAAATTAGCTGGTGGGGAACTTTCAAAAACACTGATGTCTGAGTTCCGCCCCCAGGAATTCTGATTTAATTGGGCATTGGGATTTCTGAAAGTTCCCCCAGGTGATTCTCTTGTGCAGCTGAGGTTAAGAACCACTGCTAATAGAGCCTGGCCATAATGTTGTTGTTGCTAGCTGCTGTGGAGTCACCTGACATAGGGTGACACCCCCCCCCCCCCGCCATGGAGGACAGAATGCAATGCTGCCCAGTCCTGCACCATCCCAATGATCACTTGCAAATTGAACTATTGTGATCCATAGGGTTTTCATTGGCTGGTTTTCAGAAGTAGATCGTCAGGCCTTTCTTCCTTGCCTGTCTTAGTCTGGAAGCTCCACTGAAAACCTATTTAGCATCCTAGTAACACACAGACCTCCACTGAGGGTTGAGTGGTGGCTGCACATGAGATGCATTGGCTGAGAACTAAACTCGGGTCCCGCATGGAAAATGAGAATTCTACCACTGAACTACCAGTGCCCCTACCCGGGCTCTAAACCGTTATTACTCAGGGATGAGCTGGTCCAGCCTTGGCTTTTGCATCTGGGACCCAAGTGGAGGGATATACGTAAGGAGCTCATTACTTGAGTCTAGTGTGAGCTCCCATCTACACACAGGCCCTGGGGGTTAGGAGGTGAACCTGGGGAAGATTTTAATACACAGTATGAAGTTAACTTGCAGGATTATTTGAATACAAGGTGAGAACATTAAAATAAATAGGACCGTAGGGGAAGTGGGAAGAGACATATGTTTTCCTGTCACTAGGGTAAAAGTGAGAAGCCCTGGTGGTGCAGTGGTTAAGCATTCAGCTGATAAATCAAAAAGTTGGTGGTTTGAACCCACCAGCTACTCCACAGGAGAAAAATGTGACAATCTAGCCTTGGAAACCCTATGGGGCAGTTCTACTCTGTCCTGTAGGATCATTATGAGTTGGAATCAACTCCATGGCAGTGGGTTTGGTTTTTTTTTTTCCATTTGTTTGTTTAGGGTAAAAGGGCCTGGTGCTTAGGTATCTATCTGGTGACTGATTTGAAGGGACTGTTTTGAGATAAACACAACAGGCTGATGGAGGCCATTTGAAAAGAACAAAACTCCATTTATGGCTTGGCCTGGTTCTCCAGGTGGCCATGTGATACTGACTTGATTTGTTGACTGCCTTTCTCCATAAATTAAAAATCAAGGTTTCTGGGTTGTGAGCTGCTTTATACTTGTGGGAAAATCTGGTTCAAAACAAACTCTGTTTCAGGCTTTGTGAATGTAGGTCACGACTGCCGAAATCCCACGCACTTTTCCTAACCCAGAGGCCCCCGCACACGGGTGAGGGGTCCAGGCAGATCTCTGCCGGCTGCTGCAGAGCGAGGGGAAGATCTGCTCTTCCCCGTGGAACCTGAGAAGCAAGTATTTAATAGTTTTCCAAAGCAGCCCTTTAACTTTGGTGCAGCATACTTTTAAAAATATTTTCTAATATGAAGAAAAAAGTTCTCTCTTCTGGAAGAGATTGCTGCCTTTCCAAATATAAGTGTATTTTCAGGTTGACGTCATTTTGTTGTTTAGAAATTGTGCACAGGGCAGTTGGGTAATTTGGAGTCATTTCTAGTCCATTTCCTTG